TTCATCGGAACGGCTCACAGCGGTGACACCTCGTTCGGTCTTGACCCGTCCTTGACGCGGTGTGCTCACTTGGGTCGCCCGTGGGAACGCCCGGAGTTGTGGGACCCGCGCTCGTCTTGTTGGGAATGCCATTTATGAGCCTGGCTAAGTCAGAGACTTATCAGGCCCGACAAATGTGAACTTGTTAGAGGTATTTCAGCTGTCAGTCCGCGTGAATGAAGGTGAATGATTTTCTTCTGTCTCATAAGAGCTCTCAGTCTGAGAATGTTTGCCTGTGTAAAATGTCCGCCAACCGAACCGATTGGAACTGCTATCTGAAGAACACGCCAGAAATCTAGAGATGCTAAGTAATCTTTTCAAATGAGACGCCGTTGGAAATGTAATGGGAGGTCCGATGAGGAGAATGCGGCGAATCCACGTGGTTGACGTGTGTTACTTGTGTCCAACAGTGGATCTAGGACCATCGGTATCATGGAGTATCATGACCGCGGTATCATGGAGTACATCAGCGTTGTCATCACTGGGCTTGAAATGGAACAATAGCAACTCACGCGAGAGCCTGCTCGATGGACGCCAGGCAGGCTCTCAGAATTAGTGCCTGACGGACGTAATTCTGAGTAAAGACTGAGCTTCCGTCAGCTCCACCTGCAAACGTGGCTCCACGAGGTCTTTAGCGGGGTACGATCCGCTCAGAGCTAACCGACGAAGCTGATACAACACCTCTTCCTTTTCCGCATGCTGTGAGAAGGGTCTTTGCCATCGGAAACTACCTGAATCCAAGATCCAGACCTCTCCCGCCTACGGTCCATCTCGGGATGCAATGTGTCGAGCTGAGCGTCCTTGACCCAGCCAGGTCACCATGCCACCAGCCCGAGGTGGATCGCTCCCAGCGGCGCGGCCGTCCGGCGCGCCGCGCTCCGTCGGCCCTGCTCTGCCTCCTCCCGGCGGTGGCTGACGACCCTCCGCTGTCGGCCGTGGGGGGTCCCTCACCTGAGGTCATCTCGTGCCTCCTGGCTGGCGAAGAGGACGTCGCGGCGGCCGGCCGGCCGGCCGACCCCTCGTGCCCCTCCTGAGTGGCGAGGAGGGCGCGGCACACCGCAGAATGCTCGTCTTTGCCTTCAAAATGTCCCCTTTAGGTCAGGCTGCTCCCCCGGGTTTCAGGCTGCCACCTGCAATCCTTATTCGTCCCCAATCTCAAAGACGTGGCTACAGCCAGGAGAGACCTACCCGCTACCGATGTCAGCCTGTGTCGGCCTCGGTCGCTGGACCCTGGCAAGACCCACCACCGCCGGTGTCACCCGGTGTCAGTTTCCGTCGGTGGCGAGCTGCCGGCGCTACGGACGCGGCCGGGCGGGCTGCCGCCGCGCTGATAAGCGAACAAAGGCCAGACGAATCACACCTACAGCAGGCGCTGCATAATGGGCGACACGGACAAAGTGGAGACGTTACGATATCAGCCCATTGTCTGGCCCTCGTGCACGGCCCCGGCTGGCGCGCCGGCTCGGCTACGGCCCGCTCCGCACGGACTCCGGGACCGGGCGGCACGCCTCGGGCGACCCACGCGCACCGCTCATGGTCCCAGGTAGTCCCATGTGATCCTAGGTGAACCCAGGTGATCTCTGGTGGCCTCAGGTGGTCCCAGGGAGCCCTAGGAGGTCTCCAGTGGTGCCAGGTGGTGAGCAGGATGTCTCCGGTGGTCCCAGGTGGTCCCAGGAGGTCTCCAGTGGTGCCAGGTGGTGAGCAGGAGATCTCAGGTGGTTCCAGGTGGTCCCGTGAGGTCTCCGGTGGTCTCAGGTGGTCCCAGGTCGGCACTGGCCCACTCTGCTTCCGTTTCCTAATGACACCTCTGTCGGTGGTCGGTTGTCGTTCTCCGTTGGAGTTTGGACAAGTGATAAAGGGCGGCGGGCTGCATAGAGTTGAACCGCTTGAGCCGCTGCTACCTAAATGTTTTAAAGTGTCGGACTCGTGATGGAAATGTCTGAGCCTCATTCTAACCGCGAGCAAATTATTATCAACCTTGGTTTCCGCCAGAAGTGGCAACGCTGATGACCTCTGTGTTTGTTTGCTTGAATGAAACCGTAAATGTGGAATACAGACGCAACTCGGCGGGGTACCGCAATTCTGCGTGATTCAAGACAGGCGCCTAACGCAGCATCATGCCTTTCGTCCAAGCGAGGACTTTTGAGAGCGATGTTTAGACTGAAGGTCGCTATGCCTGCCTCGAGAGCTTAGCCAGCAGCCTGTCAGTGGCTGATTGGCGTCGCAGTGTGCTGCCTCGGAGATTCGTCGGCCCGCTCGTTACCGTGCAGGCGAAGCGCTACGTCTTCCGATGGTACCAGACCAGGAGCGCATGTGCTCGCGTGACGCGAGTGCTGAGACCGGACAGCTCCGCCACCGGCGTGACAGGTACCAGGTGATAGCGGTGCACAATAGCCCTCTGCCGATCGCTTGAACTGGGGCCATTGTGATCGCTGGCGTCGATATGTCATGCACAGCGTGTCAAACACCTGCTATCAGCCGTTGAGGTGATAAGTACTGTGTTAAGAGGCATTCGTAACGTTTTTGCGCGGGAACTTGAGCCGAGGCGCCATTAGCGAGATTTTACATGAAATACCGTCAGGCTTCAGGCGTTGTACCCGTCGACATCAACGACACTGCTCAAAGGCTCTCGGCCATTCCGGACTGTGCCACATGACTGCGCCATATAAAGATCACATTAGAACACTGGCACGGCTTTTCGAGGACGCGGAAACATACTGGGTTTTGAGCGCGCGGTAAATCATCGTCGCGCCATTTTGGGGCGTTGTTGTCGTTGCGAACGCCGCTCCACTTCCTCATTACGGCAGCTTGTCCGGCGCCGCCGGAGGTGCGGCGACCCGTTATCACCGCCATCATATCCAGTGCTAAGTTTCGTTTGTAGATGTCGCACGATAACGCCCGCCGACAAGGCGGACCGGAATATTAATCGCGTCACCGGCGTGGACAAAGGCGTAACATGAATAGATAACGCAGACAAGAGGCGTGGAGGTCGCCACCGTCGCCGTCCGCCGGCGCGTCCGTCTGTCCGGTGCCCGCTGGACGTTCTGGGGGGGGGGGGGGCAGGTGGGCTGAGGGGGGGGGGTCGACTCTGTGGCGCGCAAAGGCTCCGATAAAGCCCGTGACGCCCGACGTATTTATTAACCGGGCTACGCGCAGGTGGCGGCGCAAGGCACAGCCTTGCGACGGAATGGGTGCGAACTGTGCGGTAAAAAACTCACAACTGTTCGGTGGTGTTTCCACAAGTGAGACTGCCGCCCGCCCCGTCCACGCGAGCAAGATGGGCCGGGATAAAAAGCGACGAGCGAAGGCAGCGCACGTGTTTGCTCCTCTTGGAAAGTGCTATAATTTGAACGAAATGAGCGAGGAGAAACAGCATTGTCTGATTGCACAGAACGCTCAGACTCGTATTACTTGCAAATTCCAAATCTGTCTTCGGAGTGTAGATCGTTAAGCCCTATGCCCTGAGCTGTATGCCTTAGTAAATAATGGGGCTATTCTCCTGTCCCCCAGCATTAAAATACGGTCCCGCTGAGGTGATGACATCGGCTGGCACGAGTTCACTCGGTAGGTGGCCCCGGTCCTCGACCACTGTAGACATAGAAGTATATACGAGAAGAACAGCTGACAAGTGCGCGACAAGCGGGACCATGGTTAAAAAGTCGATTCTGCTAATTGAATGGTCGACGGCCTGGTTAAATGAGACGATTCCGCTATTCGGTGGATAGTGTTAACTGAACAGTCTGTGCAGCAAGGATTTGAACGTGAGTCTCCTCTCGATCGGCTATCTAATTGGTGGTGGCGTCCTCTGACTGGCGCGTGGAAGGAGAGCTGTTGCTGACGCTCCTGCGCGCTGCTGGCGGCTGGGTGGGGGTGGGGTGGGGGGAAGTTGAGGAGGGAGGCTTTCGCACAGCCCCGGTCCGGCCCTCGGCCAACGAGCGAGGGGTAGTGTCTCGCACTGGTCTGCTGGTCGATGAATCAAACTAGTGCATTCGGTTATGCGATAACTTAGCTTTTCATTCGCAAAGCACTCAGAGATGATCGCATACGCACACAAAATACGTTATGTGAGTTTACCGTACCAATGGTGTGACAGCTTCTGCAGCAATAAAAGCGTGCCTCGAGAAAGGTGCCTTACATTGTGTCGGCTGTGTTGGCGCCTGGGGGACACCGACCCCGCAAAAGGCAGGAGGCGCGGCAGGGATGGGGATGGGATGGGACGGGAGGCGTCGGCCAGCCTCCTCCATGACTGCGCCCCCTCGTGGCGTAATTAATGCCGTGCCGCAGCAGAGGGCGCGTTTTAATTGGACGCCGATAACATCATCCTGCTGGGAGCCGCCGTCTAAGCGGCGGGTCCGTGTAATGTGTGCACAAGTGAATGCACGTGACTTCGGACGTCGCATGAAGTCACTTACACGACCTTTGCGTGCTACTTAAGGAGGCAAAAGTGGTTCTCAGTGTGCTAATCAGCCTGTAAGCTGACGTAATCGGGGGGTGTTTGGCTGAGTGTAAATGTAAACCGCACCTCGCTGCCTGCACCACGTGACCACGCCACCGTGGAAAGACGCATCCCTAAACCTGAAACATTCATGCACAACGCTTTCATGTTTAATGTGGGGGAAGAGCGCGCAGGAATAAATCATAGCTACCCAGAACCGTTACAACACTTGCTTCGCAGGGGTGATCTCATTACTCTTTTTTAATCCTTCTGGCCGCGCGAGAGAGCCGCACGTTCGTGGAAAATGATGCTCGCGATGGTATGGACCCAGCGGGACAACAGCTATAAAACGTCACCGACTGGACCGTTTGTTTGTTACGTGTGACGTCATCGACTGGACCGTTTGGGGCGTGTTTAGGCCCTGACGTCACTGCCGCGTAGTTACGAGCATGACGTCATGGCCCGCCTCGTCCGTCACGATCTCGCTGTCGTAACGTCGTGCGGCTGACGCCCGTCCCTCCGGCAGGGAGGGGCGTACGACATGAAGGACGCGCCCGGGACTCTGCCCGGTCTGGGGGCGCCATCGCCCTACTACAGCCCGTACGACCCTGCCGCCGCCGCAATGTACCCCTACACGAACGGGTGAGTGGCCAGCCGGGCAGCTGGCGGCACAGCTATGCGTGCGGATGTGCTGTGTGTCGATGCTTCCGAGGGCTAAGCCGGGGTGGTTGGTGTAATCATATTGTGTAAGGCAGGCTTAACATTTTGCAGCATCCAATGGAAGCGGAGGGTTTCCGAAGCCCCTCGCCTACGAAGTGCATGGCTTTCAACCATGCGCGTTTTTTTATTCATTTTCCGTTGTTTCCCTTCGAGTCAATGCTGTTTGTCATAAACCCACCCGCTCATCAATAGAGGGTGACTACTAGGGCGATGACGTCAGTCAGGGACCGCTACGTAGGCCGAGCCGGCCATGCGTCCGCGCCTCGAGTAGGCGGCCGCCGGTCCCACACGGGCGCCGCGCGGAGCCTCGCCTGGCCCGGCGCCTTGAGCAGGCAGCTGCCGGTCCCACACGGGCCCCGCGCGGAGCCTCGCCTGGCTCGGCGCCTGGTCCCGCGCGGAGCCTCGTCTGGCCCGGCACCGGTCTACCGACCATCCATCAACCGGACGGCGCTTCAGCCCGCGTCCTGCTGACAAATGGCCCACACCGACCGGCCGAAAATGACATTCCTGCGTCAACGCGTGCGCCATCATTTAATTTCACGAATATCGAACGCGCCAAATAGGGCGTGTTTGTCACCAATTTGTCGCCGGTCGGGCCGCATCGCGTCATTACCGGCGCCGACAGGTTCCGATGCGATCGTGGCGCGGCTGTCCGCCGGCGCGCGACAGACGGCGCAGGGGCGCCGCCAGGGTCCGCAGGAGCGGGCTGGCAGCTGCGCGGAGAACGGTGCGAGCTTCCATCGCGTGACTATCCCTTGGCTGTCTTCGTGCATTCTTTATGCATGTCTTCGTAGGGCATAAACGAAGCCTCTACCTTACCTCCCTGTTTAACTTCCGCTGAGTGCGCCGCTGCGCCCGGCCCCGCTCGCGGGAGCCCGGCCCGGGCTCCTGTGAGCCCGGCCCGCTGCTGCCGACCGGTGCGACCCGGTGTGACCCGGTGTCACTCGGTGTCACCCGGTGTCGCCGCTTCTTAGCCGGTGTCACAGCGTGCTTGGCGGTGTGCACAGGACCGCCAATGCCGCCCCTGCACGGTCGTGCACAGCGTGCATCCCGTGGACAGTCAGCTGGCGGCCCGACTGGTCGAGCTGCGAATAAGCAGGATTAGCGTGTAATGAGGATTTACCGAGCTAGCTGAGGCCGGCCATCAGCGACGCCTAATTTCTGCAGCGGTGGACGGATCTGTTTAAGGGAGGCGTGCGTTGTTAGCCCGCGTCGCTGATGGATGGAAGCGACAGATGTTACAAACGGCTGCGCACGCCTAGTGGTGTGTGCATGCGTGTGCACTGTGCTTGCAGGCGTGTGGATGCCCGAGTGCAACGGCGCGGTCTCTGTGTTCGAATAACGGGGAAACGAATCAGCTTAAAGCTACACCAAAACCGCAAAACTGCTCGTTACCAGGCTCCTAACACAGGATCCGTACTCAAGAAAAATATTGGTTTTCGCGGATAGCGCCTCTCTCTCTATCCCTCTCTCTCTCTCTCTCTCTCTCTCTCTCTCTCTCTCTCTCTCTCTCTCTCTCTCTCTCTCTCTCTCTCTCCTCTCTCTCTCTCTCTCTCTCTCTCTCTCTCTCTCTCTCTCTCTCTCTCTCTCTCTCTCTCTCTCTCTCTCTCTCTCTCTCTCTCTCTCTCTCTCTCTCTCTCTCTCTCTCTCTCTCTCCTCTCTCTCTCTCTCTCTCTCTCTCTCTCTCTCTCTCTCTCTCTCTCTCTCTCTCTCTCTCTCTCTCTCTCTCTCTCTCTCTCTCTCTCTCTCTCTCTCTCTCTCTCTCTCTCTTTCTTACCGTCACGTGAAAAAGCACGTCACCGTTGGGGGCAGGTAAAGCAGATACGGTTAGCGGTGGAGACAATCGATTGTACGCCTTGAAAGCTTTGTAACGCTGTCGACCTCCCAACACTGGGTGTGAAAGCGAACCCGCTCCGCCCCAACACTGGGCATGCCAGCGAGCCCGCTCCGCCCCAACACTGGGCATGCCAGCGAGCCCGCTCCGCCCCAACACTGGGCATGACAGCGAGCCCGCTCAGTCCCATCACCTCCCGGCATCACTGCTGCCTCTTCCTCTTTGATGCCATCGTCTCCGCACATCGGCTATGCTTTCCTTCAGCATCCAACTTCCCTCCTTGCCATCACTGTCTGCTGTTCGCTCTTCGTCCGTCTCTCTTCATCATGGCTTCACATCTCTGTCTACATCTTTGCATGCTGCAACATCGACTCCTGTGCGTCCCCCCCCGCCCCCCCCGCCCCCCCTTGCGCCACTCTGCCGCGCCGCCGACCCCCGCCGCGTTCCTCTCCGCAGCCCAGAAAAACGGCCGGCGCCGACGCCCGGGCCGCGCGGCAGCGGCGCTGCTGGCGCCCTGTCCGGGCGTTATTATCGGCTGATGTGACGGCTGAATGGCCGCCGATCGCGACGCCAGCCCACCCCGGCTCGGCGCGCCCCACGTAAAAAGGCCACCCGATCTGTGATACTGTCACAGCGCACGGGCGGTGCCAGGGACAGCAGCGCGACGCGGCGCCGTGCACAGACGCGACATCCCGTTCTGTCGTGCAAGAGTTTTGGTCAATGTATATTGTTGTAGAGCTTGCATTTGAGGGAAATCTTTGTTGATGCGGCCGCTACTTACCACCTATCGACCACCTGGACCTTTCACCGTCTCCGCCACAGTCCTCCCGATACATATGCCTGGCTCCGCCCCTGTGCTCAGCAGTCGGCAGCGCGGGCTGTGCAGCACTCGGCGGCGGACGAAGGCCGGGTGTCGGCCGGTCGGCCAGCTAGCGACCTGTGGCGACGACCAGTCTCCTGTCGTCGCCGCTCCGGCAGAGCCGAAAGGGCAGCATCACAGACGTGACCCGACAAAACGTAGGTGTAGTGAGATAGGGGAATCTCCTCCGCAACAGTAGAATCTCCTCTCCTCTGAATTACATGCTGGATTCGTCTTTGCCACTAGGTGGAGACCCGTTGCCTTCCGCTCCTACTATTGCGAGACTGAGCTGTCGAGCTCGGACGGACTGTCGAACTGGGGCAGACTGTCGAACTCGGACGGACTGTCGAACTGGGACAGACTGCCGAGGTCGGACAGACTGTCGAGCTGGGGCAGACTGTCGTGCTCGGACGGACTGTCGAACTGGGACAGACTGTCGTGCTCGGGCGGGCTGAAGGACTCGGGCATTCTGTTGGGCCAGGCAGACTGTCAGACTCAGGCGGACTGTCGGGGTTGGACAGACTGTCGTGCTCGGACGGACTGTCGAACTGGGACGGACTGTCGTGCTCGGGCGGGCTGAAGGACTCGGGCATTCTGTTGGGCCAGGCAGACTGTCAGACTCAGGCGGACCGTCGGGCTCAGGCGGGCTGTCGGGCTCAGGCAGACTGTCGGGTTCGGGCAGACTGTCGGACTCGGGCAGAGTGCTTGGGCTCGCCAAATTTTGGGACGCCAAAACTTTTGCCCAATCTCCCAATTTTGCAGCAACGCAGATGTTACCCAAATTTAGGTAATGGAAAGACCCATAACTGAGCTAGATGGCTCCAGCTGGTGAGTGGTGTTGAGCTGGTGGTACTTACTCGGATAAAGAAGGCCATTTTCTGCATCAAAAGGCCCGTTTTCTAGATCAAGGACAATTTGATGAATTTGGTTTCCATGTGCTGGATTAGGAGGACCCTTTGTTGGCTCATGAAACCCACTTTTATGAATAAGGGGCCTCGGTTGGGGATTAGCAGGCACATATATATATATATATATATATATATATATATATATATATATATATATATATATATATATACTTGATGTGAGATAACGAGGGCCTCTAGAGATACGGAGGACCTCTTTGTAAATCATACAGACCCTGTTTTGCGTCGCAAGGTATCTCTATGCTTTTAGAATACCCTTTATTGGAACCTGATTTTCTATCTTTGGAAGAGGCCCTTTGCTGGATCGAGCAGCCCCTTCATTGATCAGAGGGTCTCTGAGCATGCTATATATCTAAATTTTCGGCATTTTTACGTGAATATTGATGCACTCATCAATTTTACAACGGGGCATGCGCCTCCGGTGCTTCCATTGAATAACATGTTACCCAGGAACCCCCCTCCCCCTCCCTCCCAATGAGGACGTCTATTTTGTCATGAGGCCTCCTGGAAAAATTCTGCCCCCCCCCCCCTTATCCAAAGCCTTGGCGCCGTCCCACCGTCTTTTTCCAAGGGATTTTAACATGTCCATCTCTAGGATTGTTTCCCCTGTTCAGCTCCTCGAATCCCCCGCCCAGGTCAGGCCGCTCCCCGAATCCCCCGCCTGGGTCAGGCCTCTCCCCGAATCTCCTGCCCGGGTCAGACCGCTGCTCGGATCCCCTGCCAGAGCCAGGCCGCCACCAGGACCCCCTGTCCCGGTCAGGCCCTTCGCGCCAAGCACGTGACCCCACCGAGACCCGGAAGACCGTCGCAGAAGGCCGGCGAGGAGCTCACTGCCCTCTCATGGCCCGCGCCGACAACGACGCGTCGAAATCGACGAGTCGGGAACGACGATCTGCGAACATACGACGAGCTAATCTGGCCTGGCCTCCCGCGACGCACCCTCGCGCTGCCGCATTTGCAAGTCTATGAGCAATCTTTGTGCGGCGGATAGATCCTTCGTCGACCGCGAGAAAAAACAACGCTGTTGGCGAGGGATGAGACTACTTTGCGCTGAGTTATGCCGCGGTTACAGCGCCGACAAAGACGTGCGAAGCTGAACCAGGTCGATCGGAACGACACTTTGCTGGACGGCTGCATTTGGATGCCTTTTTGATTATACGGTAAAATAAGGTGCCCAGTATTTACTGATTCGTTGCATGCCGGGTCGATTACCAAATTGTGGAAATTTAAACGGAAGCCGAAAAGCGGCACACAAAAGCAGTACTACTGGTCTTAACCGGGATATTTTTGGCTTTGAAAGATT